ATTAATTCAGAAAATCTTTTCAGGACCCCACCCTGATGTTTCTGGACCCCACTTTGGGTCCTGACCCCAACTTTGGGAAACAGTGCTTTATACAACACTGCATTTTTTAATGTTTCACTATAACCTAATTTTTTGTAATTAATCTTGAATCAGCTTCAAAGCTGAGCATGTGCAGAAACCATACATCTTTGTTTTGCCCAAACCTTTTTTTAACATGTAAAAATGTAAGTTTTCAGATGAATAAAGAAAAGGCCTCATAACTTTTCTGTGATTCTGTTTAGAAACAATAATGATTAAAAATAGATTTGCAAAAATATAAAGGCCTTTAAAAATTTGTATTTTCTTCTCAAGGGTGTATTCCTGTGGTTGTGAATATCTGCGATTATTTTCTGTGWATTGGAGTTGACATAATGAATATGAACAAGAAGTAAAATAAACACTGTTTATATTGTACCTGTTTCGACCTGAATCTCGGAATCCTTTGGCAAACGGGTTGCGGTCAATCTTTAATCTGGTAATCTGCAGAAAAGAAGAGCAGGAATTAGAGACTGTTTTCTTGTTTGAGCTGCATTAAAACCAGGAGTCCTGCATGTTCACCTGCTGGTTCTGGTAGGCGGTGACGGTGGTGAAGACGGTCTCAGGGAAGCTGAAGGTCTTCACCCCCTCCCCGGTGGGAACGGCCTTGTTRGGAGACAGTTCACTGCTGAAGTCCTTTCTGATGATGTGAACACGAGGCTGATACTTGTGCATAGAATGGAGGATGATCTGTGGGAAAGGACAGAACAATGACACGTTATTCGATTTGTGTTATGGTCAGAAATTATGAAGTTCATTTGATTTATTTTCTGGATTCACTGTTTCTGGGAGGATTTCAGTTGATTGTTTCATTTATCAAAAATAATGTGTGCCTCTAAATTTGAAGGTAGAAAAACAAAATAGTTTCCCATATTTTCCTAAACATTTGTCAGTATAGGTTTTTTTTTCTCTTGGTGGTGATGAGTTGTGTGTGGGGGGTGGGGGGTGAAAAATTGACCTTTTTGAGCTTTATATCACGTTATGTTTGAAAAATCCTTGAATCCCTGTGTTGAGCTGCCTAACTGCTAGGGCTGGGCAATATTGGCAAAAAAAACTGATCACAATTAATTGCACATGATGTGATTATAACTGTGTACTGGTACAAAGCAATGCCTGTTTGTACACAGCTCCACCCTGGAGTTTGGTCTGCAGCCGAGCTCCTGCCCCACAGAGCACCCCTCCCCTGAAGCATTGCTGTGAAGATGTGCTGAAGTGGGAGTGTCAGAAACAGTAGAAAGTTCTTAAAGAGACAGAGGCCAATTTCAAGGCATTTATGATGTAAATTCATATTTATTTTCAACTTATACAGCTTTTTCATAACAACTAAAGTAACATAGTTACTTGATTGTGGTATAGGACTGGAAAATACATACCCCCCCCCCACCCCCTT